ATAATACATCGTGTAGCATAGCTCTCAACGAATGTAGTCCTGTAAATAAATGAATAAAGAAATTGTGTAATAAAATGCCTCTGGCGGGACTCGAACCTGCGACCTCTCGCTGTCAAGGCGAGCGTCATAACCATTAGACCATGGAGGCTTCATGGTTGAACAGATTCAAATACCACCAGATACACTCCATTACACAATAAGTACGGCTAGAAACAAATAGTTGTGTATAATATAAATCAAGATAGCCATTAACACTGTTAAATTATATATATAAATCATCAAAGAAAGGTAAATACAGTGTTCGAATAAAACAGTGTTTGAATAATACAGTGTTAGAATAAATAAATAAATATATATATATATATATGTATGTATTTCATGTATGCTCCAAGTAAAATAAAATGCAAAAGCAATGAAAAAACGGTGTATAATCATTGAAAGTTGACTTGCGGAACACAAATTTATTAAGCTATAACAAAATCAAACGGATATTTCGATAGCTCCTGCTATCTTCATCAACGTTAAAGTGAGAAAACTTGGGAGATTTTACATATACATAAAGAATAATACACCAATCAGAATCAAGTTATCAATACAATTAGTTGATTGGACCACAAAATATAAGTTCAGTGACAAGTTAATGGGCGAATTAATTACAATTAAACCATGATAAGATGTCGGCAAAATGATTATGTAAGCGATAGTTTATTGGCGGTGCCAATGAACCAGCTTAATTCTAAGACTTATTTAACTACAGTAAACAATAACAGGAAATAAAACATAGTAAGATTAATAAGGTCCTATATAATTAAAACAATTGTGGAATAGAAAATAAATAGCAGAAATATAAGGTATATGTATGAGTTTAAATAATATAACGCATGATATCATTATGACAAATAAAATACAGTTTAGAAATCAATGAATATAAAAAAATGTACATAAGTAGAAATAATATAGCATATATAGTTAGATACTGTATTCATAGAGAAATATTGCGTATGAAGGCATAATCACATGTAGAGCCTAAGTTCTTATTTAGACCCTTAATGTGAGTTTTTAACCGGATTTATGTAGGCCTAGTAAATTTAGTAGTACAATGCGATACAAAATGTGTTTTTAAAAACATTTTTAACATAGTTGAAATATTGACAAGGCAGTTGTTTTCAATATTTTTTCAGGTATTTACATAGGCCTAGTAAACTTTTGTACAATGCGCTACAAAGAATGTGTTTTTAAAAACATTTTTAAAGTAGTAGAAATATGTTTGATATTTAAAAGTTTGTTCAACTATTTTGTTCAAGATTATAATTGTTGGTTAATTTATATACTTCACGAATATGTTCTAGATTTACTTGACTGTAAGTAGGATGTTATATTGTTCTATTGTCATCACTATTTTATCACCTTTCAACTGTAAGTACAGTAGGTTGTGGTATTATACTATTGTCATCACTATTTTATCACCTTTCAATGTGAAAACAAAAAATATGTGACTTAATATTTTCCACAAAACGGACCAGAATACTGACCTATACCCACCCTTATTAACCCACTTTTCCATCCCTACAATCCACTCTTATTATTTAGAGTTTACCAAAGTTATCCTCCACCCACAATTAAAATGTCCATCACTCACCCTTAGTTTCTACAACCCTGCGAGGTATACGAATACGAAAGGAAGATGAACGAAGATTGATGATTGAATGTTGCTAGAAATATTTATATTTGAGGTTTCTCCTAATATTTTTATATAAATAGGAAATACATGTTAAAAATATTTTCTGTTGAGACATCAATTTACCTAGTTATCCATATGTTACTGTACAGGTTCATAAAAATTAAATAAAGCAGGCTTATTGATGACTACCGGTGCTTACCTGTGTGTACTGTTTTGTGTTTTTCTTTGACACAATAAAAGACTTTTAGTAATGTAGAGTCTGTTTTGACTTCTGTAAATCAATGCCCATAAAATTGCTAATTTAGCGCAGAATCTCATGTCAATGATCAGAGTCAGAAACGTCAGTGCACGTAGTTGACGTCATTACTCGAAGGTCGTACTCCCATCTGATTTGTTTTTTTAAAATAGCCATAAAAATAAGAACGTTAAGTATAAATCAGATCAGAGATTTGCAGAAAATGCTAAATACTGATGTGCGAGAGTGGCAGAACACAACTTGTAGGCTTTATATTTCACCTTTGCAGTCAGTAGATCAGGTGATTTTGAAGTACTAGAAAAGATTATTTGCTTTAAAGTAATGTTTTTAATAAATTCTTGATTCTTAAGCTCTTCCCAGATTATCAAATTTTCTTTGACAAAAAACCGTGTGCCCATATATACGGTAGTAATGATGTACCTATATAAGGTCATGATATGATGTCATCATGACCATATTTAGGCATGTCACATGTTTTTGTCAAATAAAATTTGATAGTTTGGACGCAGCTTTAGATTAGGTACATTAATTTTTTGTTAGGATTATTTTTCATTTAAAATATATCTTATTTTTTTGTGAAGCATGATTGTTTTTATCTATAAACTTGCAGGTTTTTTTTTTTTCATAATTGTACTAAAGGTTATTTAACACTTGTGTATTATATTTTTGATGGTACTGCTAATTTCCAATAAATATGTACAGTACATTCTTTCCTGAGGATAAATAATATTAAAAAGCGTTATTAGCATTTAACATGATTTAAAACATTGAATTACACATGTTTATGTAATTTGTATTTCCTATATATTCATTATATACAACATTAATACATATACAGTATATATGTATATATATGTACATACATATACTGTATATATATGTATATATATATGTATATATATATATATATATATTAAATCAAACGAGTATTAATGTTAGTTTTAATGCTTTTAGACTTTAATATGTCTATTGCAGACTTTATATATTTTGATATATATCTATATATTTATTTATATTGCATTATGTTTTACATTATATAGCATAGGCTTCTAGTTTGTACAACTCATTCGATTACAATTGTTCTTTGATTTGATTTTGTTCACACCCTCTATTCTTTGGTAGCTCGCTTGCTACTCACTCAGGTTCTTTGTCACTCATCCTACGTCCACATTGACTGTTATTCTTGCTTTACCTTCTATCTGTACCACCTGATGAAGGGCGATGCTCGATGTT